CGTCGTTCGTCGTCGGTACGTACGTACGTAGTAGTAGTATATATATATACTACTACTATATATATATATATATATATATATATATATATATATATATATATAATATATATATATATATATATATATATATATATATATATATATATATATATATATATATATAATATATATATATATATATATATATATATATATATATATGTACTACAATGGAGTGTACTTGGTTTTCTTCTGCGAGATCCGTTTATTAGCACTTTAGTAGTTAAAATGAAGTGTACTTGTTTTTCTTCTGCGTTATTCTTTGCTGGAGCATTCTGTTCCCTGCTTGGGTGTTCTTCTCGTCGAAATTAGTTTTTAAGCTAAAAAAGGCTCGCTGAAACCTATTTATACACATTGACAGTAATGCATGTATACGCAAACACAAGTATTTGTTGATAACGCATCAATATCGAAGTATTAATCGTATATCACCTGCGTGTTTTCTTGACTTGAGCTGAGCTGGTCTCATTGTCTGTTCGAATCCAAAACGGATATACTTCACATTGACAGGTATTGTTGTGCAGGTTGATTCTGCACCAAACAGTATCGGTTCTGCAAAAAAATACATGAAAGATCTTCGCGTTTGGGCTCCAGCTTTATATTTCGATTTATTAAGGTACCTCTCACTAAAAGAGCGTTCCATATTTGGCCTTGGAAGGGCGTGGCATTAATGCTGAGACGAGACAATCGGTGATGAACGCCGGGAAATATTCGCTCAAGATCATAATTGGCGCATCGAATCCTACGGAATATCTTGTTTTGGGATAGGCCTAGGGAAGCAAGAGAGTGGGTATTCGGAGGAGTTGGTAGGCTGTCATGTAACCCACAAACAATCATAACACTAGAAGAAGGGCGGTTGAGTGTACACAGAGTTGCGTATGTTCGTCGTGGGAGAGGGAGTGGTGAGGTGGACACAAGAAGTAGCGGCATACGCGCGGGGATCTTTATATCGATTCGAGCAGAGATATCAAAAGATCGCATGCGGGTGCGTGTACGCACAAACAACATTTACTACAGATTTAAGAGTGTCCGCAGAACATTCATTGGCATAGTACGCGAGAAAAGTCACCGAGTTGCCAGCCTAATACTCGCACACGTGGAAACAGATAGCAATTCCATATTATACAGGCAGGCTTTGCGTTGTACAGATACACACTTTACACCACAAAGCGGTGAGGACAACATGACCAATACAGACACACCTGGAGGAGGGCGTTCTCCATCGCATAGACGGCTTTCATCGGATCCTGACTCAAAGCTCCAGCCTTTGCCGACATTCGAAGTATTGGAATATTAAGGTAGAACTCCATAGTATGAGTGAATAGTGAAATGAGATCAAACCACTGCATAAATAATCCTTGCAAAGATTGTATGAGCACCAACCCTTAACAGCGTTATCAATGCACAAAATCACACAAAGTCTCATCTATTTACACGGACCCATTTTATTTCTCACCCATACGCGCATACATGTTCCACAACATACACACACAGCGTCAAGTTACATCTGATTTCTTACAGTAGGCATGCACACTATCAGACACGCACAAATGCGCACAATGGTACACGCGCATCTTCAGATGACGCCGTGACAACTAAATACACAAAAAGCTACAGAATACCTGCTGGCTCAGGTCAAGTTTTTTCTACAATCCAATTATCATTCGCATCACGGATAAAACTAATGGAGAATACAACCGCAGGAACCATAGACTACTGCCCCATTCGTTGATAAGCACTATGGAACACGATCCAGCCATATATAGATATCGAGCATTTGTAGAATGAACAACCCGTCACCCGTGTATGTAACAAGTGTACCTTCGTTCGGGAGTTGCATATAAACTCGATGAAGTCTTCGCCCCACGCAGCGCGCACTTCGTCGGTCAAATTAGACCACTTGGTCATCAAGTGTTTGTTAGCATTCGAATTGGTGACGATGGCTGTCTTCATCAATCCTGTGGCAATTTAAAAGCCCACAGATACGAAGCGATTGACTTTTAGCACAATAATTTTGGATTCTATTTTCCCCTATATTCGACATCTCCCATCAAACACATTGCCCAGACACAACACTTGCCACCCACATACTTGCTAGTTTACAAGCCACCTACCTGGTTCGATGATCGAGACCTTGATGCCAAACATGCACATCTCACGCCGAAGACTGTCGGAATATGCCTCCACTGCATGCTTGGACGCGCAGTACCCAGCCATCCCTGACAGGGCAATACGCCCGGCTACACTGGCCACGTTCACCACTCTGCGTACGGCGTGCATACAACGATACTTGAGCCATGGGTACTCTGACATTTTTCACAAAGTAATCTATTCTTAGAATCAAGGGTGCTTCTCAAGACTCTCGATGAAGAAGTAGAACTGGATGAAGTATTATGTTATTGAGTTGGCTGGCATAGTATTTCACATCCCGCGCTGTGAGGATCTGATTTTGAAACGGTTGGTGACCTAACGACTCCAAATACTTGTTGAATTGGTAAAAATCTATATGCTAAGAACAGCCAGTGTCTTTTGGTTGGGTAAGACTGCTCAGACCAGTTCGACACAATACACTCTTTATAACTACCACTCCCATGCGAATGCTCAGATGTCATGACATGGGGCATATTCCTTGAGTGCATTGTTTGATAGTACAATAGGATATAACGACAGGCCTCACACATATAAAGTGCGATATGAGAGTAGCTATAGGCATAGCCCTGCGGTGTGATACGTTGGCCATTGATGACCACACGTGTAAAGTGCGATGTAGGGTAGCTATACGCATAGCCCTGCTATGTGATATGATTGTGTCACTACATGATGAGAAGCGTGGGGTAGTCAGAGTTGTGTTAATTTAATACGCGTAAAATAAAACAGGTGGTGACCAGGGGAGTGAATCCAACAGTGGCCGCACTACGCTGAAGATAAATCGTAACTGTTTGGTGGTGCTGTACGTATTACATATACAATTATATGCATTGAGCGATGATAGTAGCTAATGACGAAATAGCCTACACGTACATATAACCATACATCAAAATATGGTATGATAATGCAAATAGGCAATAACACATGCATACACCTCGATAACACTACACGTGCATATAACCATACATTAAAGTATGGTATGATAATGCACCTAGGCACTAGCGTATGCGTACACTGCCATATGCAATACCTTGCACCGGTAGGCAAGCCCCCAGCCTGGCGCAGTAGTGGCATTAGGCGCTGCGTGACATTGGCCATTGCAAAGTAGTTGATTTCCATCACACGTCTGATAGATGTCATCGCTTGGAGCTCCAGACTGCAATCGTCCTCAATGCCGGCGTTGTTTACCAGCCCATACAGGCCTGTGGGAATGAGCAAGTGTGCCATATGTTACACTCATGGGAATAGTACGATAGAACAGGTTCTGCTGCAGTGCATGTGAGGTGAGTGTGATAGAACAGGTTCCGCTGCAGTACATGTGAGGTGAGGGTGATAGAACAGGTTCAGCTGCAGTGCATGTGAGGTGAGGGTGATGTGATAGAACAGGATCAGCTGGAGTACATGTGAGGTGAGGGTGATAGAATAGGTTCACCTGGAGTACATGTGAGGTGAGGGTGATAGAACAGGATCAGCTGCAGTGCATGTGAGGTGAGGGTGATAGAACACGTCAGCTGCAGTGCATATGAGGTGAGGGTGATGGAACAGGTTCAGCTGTAGTGGATGTGAGGTGAGGGTGATAGAACAGGTTCACCTGCAGTACGTGTGAGGTGAGGGTGATGGAACAGGTTCAGCCGCAGTGCGTGTGGGGTGAGATGATAGAACAGGTTCAGTTGCAGTGCATGTGAGGTGAGGGTGAGATTATTGGTAGCTCCTTGGATAGGCTAAGGGATGCCATGTGCAGCGCGCAGTAAGGAGAAGCGCTGCATAGTATGAGGATTGGTTAGAGGAACGATATCGAGTGCGGAGAGAACACGACGATACTCCACACTGTCGCAAGGGACATACTAAACAACTAGAGATTGAAGAAGTGGTCTCATACACATCGGAACGAGGTCCATAACAATTAGTCGGAGCAAGATGCAGATGCACTGCTTGGCATCATGCCACTCACATTCACATATGCAAGGTATATAAAGGTGTTTAGAGTCCTTGTATGACTGTCCAACTAGTTCCGGTTGTGGGGTCGTTTGTCATGTGTATATACGACATTTGTGTATCGGTCAAGGGATATGCGAAGCTATCAAATCCCGCAGAAAGGCTCAACCATCAGTCGGTCACCACAGACTAATACGCTATCATAACAAGTGCAATACAACTCAAATAAGCACACAGGCATGCACCGACAACATCTGACATAGGCACAGCAATGAGTATACGAATACATGCCATCCTGAGCATAAATATCACACGTTAACTGAGCACAAGGGCCGATAGACACTTGGCACAGTCCATAGTTCAGACTGCCCAGATACGCGCTGCAGTAAATGACATGTGACGTATCTGAGGTCACTCGCAGCATGTAAACGGAGCGACACGAGGTCGGGTACAATACCTTTCTTGCCACAGATCCTCTCTGTCTCAGTCACACACTTCGCAAGTGACTTGTCATTGGTAATGTCACATACTATCGTATGTAATCGACTGGAAGACTCCGCTCTTAGCTTCTTGGCACCCTCTTCAGTGAGGCAGTTGGCGATCACTGTGCAACATAAGTTGGGACGGGGGTTAGACAAGACAGGGAAAGGATGGACCAATCAGCAGCTTCCGTCTCGAAGATCAGTAGGGCAGGATGCTTCGACATACAGATATACAAGTGGGTGAAATGCCGTATGAAGCAGTCGTGTATATATTGAAGAATAAAGGGTATGCACTAACCTATGTAGCGGACGAATGGTGCATAGTAGTAGACACGAGACTTCAGTTGGGTACAGATCATAATTTGATCGCTATTGCTTGGTGCAATAGCCGAACGTAGAACTATCAGTGAAACAAAATATGTGATGCGAGAACTAAAAATACTACACAAAATGAAATACGAATCCACATCAGCCTACTACGGTGGCGCACCCAATTGCCGTCCAATACAATATCTTCCCTGCGGCTCAGTACATCACACTGAGGTTACGAGTGTAAGTATATATGCTCATACAAACGCACGTGAAAATAGAACAAATATTTAGATATACATACTCACACTAACACACACACACATGTATCACACACACACACATACACGTATACACACACACACACACACATATATATATATATATCATAAGTAGATATATAGATAAGACATATAGATTAATCGACCAAAGAATAGATGGAAAGATGGACACACAGTCAGACAGTCAAATAGATTGATGGATAGATCGATTGATATATAGACAGACAGATAACTGATTGATTGATTGATTGATATAGATATCGTTGGATGGATGAATGAATTTATTGGTAGACAGACTGACAGACCATAAAGATAGACAGATAAATAAATCA